ATAAACTGCATGCCTCATATTATCATCTGGAAGAGGATGTAAAGGGAGGATCTGAGGGATCTGAGGGACTCAAGAGGTGCGATGTGTTGGATACATCTCAGGGGCCTCCTCAGATTCCCCTGACTTCACCTGCTTTCTCGGATTCTTTCGGCTCCACCTGCAACCTGGCCCCTCAGCTGATGGCTCTCTCTTGGCCGTCACTTCCCTGTAGGCCTCCTGAGGCTGACCAAATGCTCATGGCGTATCTGGTTCCTCCCACCACTTCCAGACTCAGACATAACACCACACCGAAGGGCACAGGCCTTACCAAAAACTCTCAAAGGGGCCCAAATGATGTGGCCCGGAAATGTGTAGGAATTCACTCCACACGGGGCAACCTTTGATCAATGGGAAATAAGAGATGGGAGGGAACCTGACAGATAAATTCCCCCTCATTCCTTTCTTCAACTGACTGCTCCAAGAGACAGTTTCTCCGCATAACCTGACTCCCACAGGGCTGAACACTTCACCCGCTGAGCAAGCTGCTGTGTCTTCTCTCAGCTCATCCTGAGGCAGTGGTCTGCTCAGTCATCATCATCTTGCATTGCTTTGCATTCTTGCTGCTTTACTTCCCTTTTTCTTCACTCTTACTGCCCTAGATTCATACATTACAATAAAACTATCAGCACATCATCCTTACCTCAGGCTCTATTTTCTAGGGTACTTTGGTAGACAGAATAGTGGTCCTTGAAAGACAGCTACATCCAAATCCCAGGAGCCTGTGACTATGTTACCTTACAAAGTAAAATGGACTTTGCAAATATGATTAAGTTAAGCATCTTCAGATGGGGAGATTATCCTGGATTATCCAGGTGACCGCAGTGGAACCACAAGGGTCCCTATGAGAGAGAGGCAGGAGGGTTAAGGTTAGGAGGTGATGTGATTATGGAATCAGAGATCAGAGTGATTCAGCCATGAGCCAAGGAATGTGGGTGCTTGTAGAGGCTGAAAGGTGAAAGGAACTGCCTTCCCTGGAGTCTCCAGAAGGAACCCTAACAACATTTTCGACTCGTTTCAGACTTCTGACCGCCAGAATTGTCAGAGAACAAATCTGTGTCGTTTTAAACCACTAAGTTTGTGGTAATTTGTTATGGCAGCCATAGGAAACTAATGCAGGAACCTTGGCTAAAACTTCTCAATACCCTGGTTTTCTGCAAAATCCTATTTTGCATGAGTAAGGTTCAATGTCACATTGTACTTTCCCTATGAATTCCTTCTGTGAACACATCCTAGTCTCTTCTCAGGCAGATGCATGCCCTGGGTGGACTAATGCAAAGATTTATTCTCTGAAAGGCAACTGTTTTCCTATATGTTTATATATCCATAAACAACAAAAACAGGAAGTCCGGAAGGAGATATTAATAATGGCAGCAGGTGACTCATTTCCTGCCTTGAACTGTTATGGATTTTCCCAATTATCTCTAACAAACAGACATTTCTTTTATAATAAAAAACATCCTTTTAAGTGATTAGATATGAGACAGTCTAAGTATTTACACCATTCTCTGGTTCTTGAGCAGTTAATACAAAGAATAGACCACCATGAGCTGGAAGGATATGGGAAGGTTTCATAGAGCAGGGAAGAATTTGAGCAAGGCGTGGAAGGATGGGTATTTGAGAGGTAGAGAAGCAAGGGAAAGGGGCATGATGTGAGTCAAGAAGAGTGTATTTTCCTAGGTTAATAAATAAGTGCATTTGACTTAAGAGGAACGTCTGCAGAGAATATAATAACAACACAAAGAAAAAACTAATTTACCCAGCAGATACTTTTTGCTGGATACTGTACTAAGTGCTTTGCTAGATCATCTAATTTAATCCTCCCAACAGTCTCATGAGGAAGGTTCTATAAATATCCTAACTATATAGAGGAGGAATAGATGCCATTAATTGTCCAGCAAGTGATAGTTCAGATTTGAACCCCATAATCACTCCAGAGCTTAAGTTTGAGAGATGGGTTGGACATGTAGGCTGAATAGAACCCTTAAGGTCTTGAAATATCAAGTGCATTAATTTTCTATTGCTGCATGCTAGGGACCAAGTGTGTGTATCTTCCCCAAAATTCATATGCTGAAGCCCTAACCCCCAGTGTAATTGTACTAGGAGGTGTGGCCTTTGGGAGGTAATTAGGTCATGAGAGTGGGAGCCCTCACGAATGGGATTAGTGTCATTACAAGAACAGAGGCCAGAGAGATGATCTCTCTCTCCACCATGTAGGACAGAACAAGAAGACAGCCATGTGCAAACCAGGAAGAGGCTCCTCACTGGAACCTGATCATGTTGACACCCTGATCTTGGAATTCCCAGCTTTCAGAACTGTGAGAAATAACCTTCTGTTGTTTAAGCCATCTATCCTATGGTAGTTCATTAAGGCAGCTTGAACTAAGACATTGCATAACAAACTGCTAAAAATTTAGCAGATTGAAAGAACACTGCTTATTATATCATAGTTCTGTAGGTCAGAGGTCCTGGTAGGCTCATCTGGGGTCTCTGTTTCAGAGTCACAAGGCAGAACTCAATATGGCAGTGTTGGCCAGATTAGGCTCTTAACCAGAGGCTCTGGGGAAAAATCAGCATCCATGCTCCTTCGGCTGGTGGGATTCAGCTCCTTGTGGTTGTGGGACTGAAGTTCCTGCTTCCTTGCTGGCTGTTCTTGAATCCTTCCTGTGCTTCTAATCTCTGATTTCCTCTTCTGCTACCAGCTGGAGAAAATTCTCTGCTTTTAACAGGCTTATATGATTAAATTAGGTCCAGCTGGATAATTTCCCTTTTGCCGTATAGCATAACTCTGGGAGTGATAACTCATCCTATTAACAGGTTCCAACCACACTCAAAGGAGAATGGATTATATAAGGATGAGTGTCACTGGCTCATTTTAAGAATTCTGCCTACCACCACTAGGCTAAGAATTTGAAGTTTTGTTTTGGTCAAAAAGAATTTTTGTTGAGGGATGCACCTTGCTGAATAGTGGGGTTTAGAAAGATTACTGGGCATTAATGTATAGGAGGGACTGAGGTGAGGAAAGAGTAAAGACAGGGAGACTGAAAGAGCAGTGCTAGGATGATTATGGCCTAGACTAGGGTAGGCTTGGGGGAAGCTGAGAGAAGACAGATAGGATAGAAATTAAGAAGAGAGACTTCCTAGGCCTGGTGATTCATTCTGTAGGATTTTGACCTTTTGGAACACTTTCGTATCCATTATCTCATCTGATCCTCATTACACACCTGTAAAGAAGAGACATTATTCTCTCCTTTTGACAAATGAAGAAACTGGTAAGTCCCCGAACATCTCTGTGCTTCAAAGGTCATCCTGTGGATGTGTGATCCTGGCCATTTGACTCAGCCCCACTCTTCCTGGAGCTCAGGAAAAGGAAATTGTGCGGGATAGATTTATGGCCTTGTTATCATGTGCCAACCCTGTTCCTGCCATCTACCCTTGCTTGTACCTATGGGTGGTCCCTTCCTAAGTGAAACATCTAGAGGGATCTGATGGACAAGCTATGACTGAGGGTAGGAGAAATTCCTTTCCTACTCCGGAACCCCCAGCATTCTCAGCGAGGCTGTGAGGAGGGAGGAAGGGAGGGGAGAGAAGAGAGAGGGCGGCACCGGGAGGATTTTCTCATCCCTGTTAGAAAGGAGATGGGGGAGGAAGAATTCTTTATTTTTATTTTTTAAAAATCATCACTTTGAGGGGGGCTTCCCTGGTGGCACAGTGGTTGAGAGTCCGCCTGCCGATGCAGGGGACACGGGTTCGTGCCCCGGGCTGGGAGGATCCCACATGCCGTGGAGCAACTAGGCCCGTGAGCCACAACTACTGAGCCTGCGCGTCCGGAGCCTGTGATCCGCAATGGGAGAGGCCACAGCAGTGAGAGGCCCACATACCAAAAAAAAAAAAATCTATGGGATGCAGCAAAAGCAGTCCTAAGGGGAAAGAGAGGTGGAGCAGATGTGAGAAGGGAGTGAAAGGGGGTGTGGAGTCGCCAGATGACATCTATTCTAGTATATCTAGTAGCCAAATGACACCTATTGATTATAAGGAATATAAGACTAGAGAAGAAAAATTAGCATTACAGAGGAGCAAAAAGGGAAAAAAAGTCACTAATAATCCCACCAGGCAGAAATAGCCCCTTTTAAGATTTTACAGCCAAAGTTTCCAAGTTTTGTACATGAATATGTGTGTCCTGTAACAGGTACCTACTGTTCTAGAAATCTGCTTTTGTGGTTGATCAATACTTACGACAGCTGTCAGCTGTCCCTGGAGCCAGTAGGAGTGGATGCCTCTCCAAGCAGTCTCCTGCAGGGGCTATTCCCCCTCCTCCGCTTCCCCCGTGACCAGTGGACAGGCAGCAGGCAAGCCCCGTCTTCCTCTCTCTCCAGGAAAGCAGTCCACTTAGCCATCCCTAGACTGCCTATTCTTCAGAAACAAATCACTCCCTCCACCAAAACAAAAACAAAAACAAAAAACACTCCATTAAGAAACTCATCTCAGTAACCTCAGCCTTAAATGCTTGCTTTTTCTCCAGCCTGCCTGAACAGGAGAAAAGCAGAAAGGAGAATTTTAAATGGCACATATTGATTGGCTTGGCTCACCAAAAGAAGGCACTTTTACCAGCTTTTCAAATTACAATTTATTCAATAGTGAGAAAGTAACTCATTTTGAGAAAGCACTCTGACACCCTTAGGAGTTGCTTTCTCACCACTTAAATTTTATCATTATTATCGTTCACTCATTCTCTGGAAGCCACTGGGCAGAGCACAGTTCTTGGCACTTAGGAGGCAATCAATAAAGGCCGTTGAATTAATGAGACTATAGCTGTCAGGGAAATTCAAATTCCAGAGACTTGGGAAATTTGATGCGGGCTGAAATGAGATGAACTCCTGAGGCTTATCCCCTTTGATAGGTACTGGGAAGAGCACATCGTTTAGAATCAGCCTGACCTAGGTTCACATCCTGAGCCTTTTTACCTCTGTGAATACTTCATATTTCTGAGCCTTTGCTTCCTTGGGATGGTTATCCTTCCTGCGTGCTTCTTGTGAGGATTCAAACAGATGCTCCCCATCAAATGCACCTATGGGACCAGAACAAAGATGTCAAAATACTCTTGCAGACTCGTGCTTCTAGATCATGTTTTGCTGGAGACTGGGGTTTGATTTCCCAAAAGGGGAGGCAGCTATATCTTGAGTCCCCTAAACTAGTTGTTGAATTTTTTGAAAAAAAGTTGCTTCTCTTTACTTCTCACTTCCTCTTCCTTACCCACAATTCCAGAAGCTGCCACTAGGGCTAGAGCAATGGGTCGACTCAGAATTGCAGGGGAACCTACATTGGATTGTTGGCTTGAAGAGTGCATAATTTTTGTATACATTCCCTCCCCCGTTTTTCTATCTTCAAAAGATCTGAATTTCTTTACCCATAATAAAAGGATCTGTTTGTGTATTAATTTCTCAATTATTTCATTGTCAAAGTTGTGGGGTGCATCTTTGCTTGGGGCTGTCAGTTGTAGGTGAGAAAAAAGATAAACGGGGGGGCTTCCCTGGTGGCGCAGTGGTTGAGAGTCCACCTGCCGATGCAGGGTACATGGGTTCGTGCCCCGGTCCGGGAAGATCCCACATGCCGCAGAGCAGCTGGGCCCGTGAGCCGTGGCCGCTGAGCCTGCGCGTCCGGAGCCTGTGCTCCGCAACGGGAGAGGCCACAACAGTGAGAGGCCCGCGTACCGCAAAAATAACAAAACAAAACAAACAAAAACGGGGGAATATTTTGCAAGTTTCTGGATTCTTGCACTGCGATCAGTTGATGGACAACTTGGGAGAGGTTTACTGCTGAATGTTCTGGGATGCTTAATGAGCTTCCAGAAGATAAGTGGTTAACTCTTAATTCTAAACACTGGAATTACGAACAAAGGTCATAGTGGTGTGGAAAAGAATTTTTTTTTTAGTTGCATGGGGTTTTCTTTCATTTTTAATTTTCATTCATTCAATTCATTTTACTCCATTCTATTTCATTTCTTTCATTTATTCATTCTTTTTTGGGACCTCCCCAGTGGTCCAGTGGTTAAGAATCTGTGCTTCCACTGCAAGGAACAGGGGTTTGATCTCTGGTTGGGGAACTAAGATCCCGCATGCTATGTGCAGCCAAAAAAAAAAAAAACCCTTTATTATTCATTCCTTTCATTTCATTTTCTTTCTTTCAAACATTTATTGGGTGTTACATTATGTGCAGCACAGCTATATTTAGGCCCTGGAGATATATCTGGGAACAAAACAAATGGAGCCTTTGCCTCATGGAGTTGATATTCCAGTGGGGAAGACAGACAATTGAACAATAAACAAACATAGGATAATGGCAGGTAGTAATAAATGTTTCAAAGAAAAACAAAGCAAAGTAAGAAGTTAGCCCATTATGAAGGTAGTATTAGGGCAAAACAACAGAGGACAAAGACAGAGTAAGCCTTTGAAGAGATCTGGGGGTGAAATAATGTTCTAGACAAAGGAAATAGAAAGTGAAAAAGGCCCTCAGGCTGTGTGGATACAAGGAGCTGGGAGGTCAGTGCAGCCAGAGCACGTGGAGCAAAGCAGGAAGTGGAGGGACATAAAGTTGGAGATGTGGCAGGGCCCCGAGCACATGGAACCTTAGAGGATGCGGAGATGACTCGGGATTCTATTTGAAGTTTGTTGGGAAATCATAAAAAGGTGTCGTAAAAGGGTTGCATTGTGTCCCCCACAAATTAGTATGTTGAAGCCCTAACTCCCAGTACCTCAGAATGTGACTGTATTCATAGATAGTGCCTTGATAGAGATGATTAAGCTGAAATGAGGCCATTAGGGTGGGCCCTAATCCAATACAACTGGTCCTTATAAGAAAAGAAAATTTGGACACACAAAGAGATACCAGAGATGCACGTGTATAGACAAAAGGCCACATGAGGACACAGTGAGAAGGTGGCCAACCACAAACCAAGGAGAGAGGCTAAAGAAGAAATCAAACCTGCTGACATCCTTTTTTCTATTTTTTTTTGAATTTTTGAATTTTATTTCATTTATATTTTTATACAGCAGGTTCTTATTAGTTATCCATTTTACACATATTAAAGTATCTATGTCAATCCCAATCTCCCAATTTATCAGACCACCACCACACCCCTGCCACTTTCCCCCCTTGGTGTCCATACGTTTGTTCTCTACATCTGTGTCTCTATTTCTGTCCAAACCTGCTGACATCTTGATCTTAGATTTCCAGCCTCCAAAACGATGAGAAAATAAACTTCTGGTGTTTAAGCCACTCAGGCTGTGGCTTTTTATTATGGCAGCCCTTACAGACAAATACAAATGATATCAAAGCCTAGATTGCCACAATCTGACTTTAATTTTCAAATGATCAATCCAGCTGATATGAAAAGAAGACTAGTGGGAAAAAGTAGAGTCAAGGAAACCAGTTAAGAGGCTGCTGTGGTGATGCCGGTGAAAGGGCCCATGGGCTGGACCAGCTTGGTAGTAAACGAGGTGATGAGTCAGGCAGATTTTGCAGGCAGAGCAAACAGGGTTTGTGGGCAAGAGAGGAATTAAAGCTGCTGGCAAGGTCAGGCTTGTTCAGAATGTCCACTCAGTCCCTGGCTAAAATCACTCATATCCTGACCCCCAAGAGGTTCTGGGTACTGTGACAAGCTCTTAAAAAAAAAAAGAAGTAAAACAACCTCCTAAGATTTTGGAGCCAAACCTGTTTTAGAAGGAGCAAAAGAAAGACAGAGGCTACTGAAAGAAAGGAAATCCAAGTATGGTTCTAGAGTCAGAACGCTTGGGTTCAAATCCTGGATTCACTTCTTACTGTTTAACTTTAGAGCAAGTTATTTAAATTTTCTAAATCTCAGTTTTTTTCATCTACAAAATGAGGATGACAATATCTACTTCATGGGCCAGTGTGAGAATTAAATGAAGTATTTATGTAAAGCTCTCAGCATCGATTTGGCTTACAGTAAATGGTCCATAAATGTGATGTATTGGTTAGCTCTTGCTGTGTAACAACGCCCTCCCCCAAACTCAGTGGCTTAAAATATGAAGCATGTATTGTTGCTCATGAATCTACCTGTCAGCTTTATTTTTAAGGGGGCCAAGCAGGACTAAAAGAGATGTGCTCTGTTTCCAAAGGGCCTGTAAACTATGCAAACAGTGGAAACACACGCACAAGCTCACAAATCTTTGCACAGGTTATAGGAGGTTGTGAGCGTGGACTAGGACTGGCTGGGGGACCTGAGTTCTCATTGGGCTGTGTGATTTGGGGCAAGTTTTGTCCCTCACTGTGCCTTCATTTCCTCCTACATAAGGAGAAGAGTTGGATGAGACAATCTCGAGGCTTTCCTCCAGATATGAATTCTCTTGAATATATGTAACACACCTACCTACCTGTGTCTGAAACAAATAGGGAGTTACTTGTCTTATACAAATCCAGAGTTAAGCAGTCTGGATTGATGTGGCAGCTGAATGACATCATAAGAACAAGTTCTTTTTGGTCTGTCTGTTCCACCACCCTTAGAGTGTAGGCTGGTTGTCTTGTGGTGCCAAGGTGGTCACTGCACCTCTAAACATCACATCTTTGTTCTAAGCAGGCAAAGGGAAAAGACAGAAAGAGAACAAACATTTATACCAGCGGAGTCTGTTTCTTTTTACAAGGGAAGAAAGGGCTTCCCTGGGAGCCCCATCCTGATGATTTACGCTTATGTCTTATTAGCCAGAACTGTTCCTCATGGCTACTGAGCTGGAAGGTGGCTAAGATTTCTGAATGGGTATCGAGTCAGCCAACTCACGGTGTCGGCTGCAAACGCTAACCGCAAATTCACATAGTCCCGAGAGGGCACCCTTGGGTTACCCACAGGAGCTCTGGCCAGTCAGCTGGCTTCATGGTGGCCTGCAGAAAGGTTGTTCCCCTGGTAACAGTACTCACATAATCCCAAGAGACTAAAAATTCCAAAAGAGAAAGACATCGTTTGCTTGATCTCAGCTGGAGCTTCAGGACCTAATTCAGGGCCTGGTACATTATAGCTGCCTGACAAACATTTGTGAATGAATGAATTGCCCATCAATGAGTATGGATTTCAGTGGACTGGGGCACTTGGGGAATGAGGGATCAGGATAATTGGATTTTCTGGCAGCTTGAGGGTGAAGCAGAAAAGCTTACGATTTCAAATTAATTCCGGCAACACTGAGTGCCTTCCACATCCAAGGGTCCAAGGTAAAAAACAACAACAACAACAAAACAACAGCTCATGTGCTATATATGTGTAATGATCAGGATCTCAGCAGGA